CCTATAGTATTCATCCCCAAATGCTCCAATTTTTTCCAAATTGATAATTGGCTCCTCATTACCTTTACTTTCTGAATGAAGCTGGTGGAGATCTGCTATTGTACCCTTGGTGATCAGACTCCTTCAGACCCTGAGATTCCAAATGATTCTGATCAACTCAACAAAAGATGTCAATTTTGGGGTTTACTTTGTAAATCTGATCAAGGCTACAATAAACTGACAGAAAGATACACAAATGCGTGCACACACGCATTGTTTGTATATGATTTTAGAGTGCCTAGGGACTCTGTGAAGCCCATGTATGGACTAGTTCCCAATGTTGTCTCGTAAAACTTTCTGCAAGAGTAGCAATGTTCTATTTCTGTGCTCTCTGATGCAGTAGCTACTAGTCACATGTAGCTACCAAACATGTAAAATGTGGCTAGTATGTCTGAGGAAATGAATTCCTTAATTTTATTAATTGTGATTAACTGAAATAGGTACATATGCCTGGTGGCTACTTACTGGACAGTGCAGCTTTAAATGCTCTATTTTGCATCCCCATCTTACTGCCTTCAATCCTGGCACTGATGCTGGGAGGAAGGAGATGAGAGGGGCTGGGGAGTACTGAGCATCCCAAGCAAGAGCACTGCTTCTACAGTACAACATGATGAAACAGCCTCATCATCTAGCAGGTCAGTGCATAGTGCAATGACCCAGGCGCTTAAAGGAACTTGGGCTTGAGGCTTTCTACTTCCGCTGTAGAGTTCAGGACAAAGGACTGCGAGAAATTGGTCAAAAATAGAACTGCTACTCTCTGTAGGACTCAGAACTATCTGGGTCTCATGTACACAGTGTCTGCCCAACTCTAATTTTTCAGTTTACACAAACAGATAATGTCCCTTTATGAAACCTCTTCCACAGTAAGCACCTATTAGTTGGATCTGGGGACTGGACTAGACTTGAGTAACCACTGACTGGAAAATAGGACAGGTCACTTACTGTTGCCGCCTCTTCCAGGGCCTGTTTGTTTCCTCCAAGGGCTTTAAAAAGAATGTTATAGTTACTATTAGATTTTAACAATAAATCATCTTGCCTAATGGTACCATTTATCTTTCTAAAACTGGTACAGCTCTTAGTCTAACATTCAAGGACCTTCACCATCTAATCTATTCTTTCTCCAAGTTTTATCCCAAATGTGCCACTGACTCTCAGGACTTGTTGCTATGGTACTCTGTATTTCCTCTGCCTGAAATTCTCCTCCGTACTCGATAAATTTCTAACTCATCCTTCAAAACTTAGCTCAAACATGACCCCCAAAATTCTGCTTATCTTTTTAAAAAATATATTTTAAATTTTATTTATTTTTGAGACAGAGTCTTGCTTTGTCACCCAAGCTGGAGTGGAGTGGCGCCACCTTGGCTGTCTCCTGGGCTCAGCTGATCCTCCACCCTCAGCCTCCCAAGTAGCTGGGACTACAGGCATGCGCCACCACATTTGGCTAATTTTTGTATTTTTTGTAGAGATAGGGTTTTGCCAAGTTGTCCAGGTTTTTTTTTTTTTTTCAAATAGAGATGTGGTCTCCTGCTATGTTGCCCGGGCTGGTCTTGAACTCCTGGGCTCAAGTGATACTCCTGCCTTGGCCTCCCAAAGTGCTAGGATTACAGGCATGAACCCCTACCCCATGCCCTGCCCTCTGCTTATTTTTCTTTAAAAAAAAAATGTATTTTTATTTTAATTATCTTTTTAAAGTTTAAAGATAGGGTCTTGCTATGTTGCCCAGGCTGGTCTCAAATTCCTGGGTTCAAGCAATCCACCTGCCTTGGCCTCCCAAAGTGCTGGGATTACAGGTGTGAGCCACTGTGCCTAGCCTGCTTATTTTTCTATCTCAGCAGGTTGCTGCAAAGTGTGGAGTAAGTTGCTCACCCTCATCGTACCTAGTAACTACTCAGAGCTTTTCAAACAGTCCATCCTTGCCTTGGACTGAATTCCAGAGATGATATCTTTTGCTTCTGGCAAAAATTTAGCAGTCAATGGAAGTACAGTAAACGTGTGTTGAATGAAAAGGTCTTTGTGAGATTTACATGTAGAATAAAAAGTTAGGTTAGATCCTCCTGCTAGAAACCCTCATAGTATCTTGTAAAACAGTTAAGATCTCAGGCTATGAAACCAGAATACCTGGGTTCAAACAGACTATTCCACTAACTAGCTTATGAGGCCTTGAGCGAAGTATCCAATTTCTCTGTGCCTTAATCTTTTCATTTAGAAAAATAGGGATATTATTAGTTATGAAGAAAAATTAGTTAATATATGTAAAACACTTGGTACAATGCTCATCCGGCATAGAAATCACAATATGCTCACTGACCACTACTCTATTCTATCTCCTTTGTAGTACCTATACTTTTAATTACATAATTGTATGTGGATTTTTCTAATAGCTCTTTTCTACTAACCTGTATGTTTCTGAAGGCAGAGGCAATGTCTGTTTTATTCCCCGGTGCATCTTTAGCACCTAGCACTGTGACTTACACATGCTCAGTATTTGTAGAAATGAGCAAATGAATGGCTTAATATTAATAAATAAAAGGACAAGTCAAAAGGATCATTCAACGTCTAATATGTGAACAGAACATGCATTTCTATCCAGCAAGGAGACTTCATGCTGGATAATTAATAATAAGGAAAACAAAGGCAACCCAGCAGAAAAGTACAGCCTCCTGCATTTCTCTGGACATTTAATAAAGGAGTGGGGAAGCAGGCTGGGATTTTTCTCTGGCCAGGAAAACTGATGTGCCTTTTTTTTTTGAGATGGAGTTTCATTCTTGCTGCCCAGGCTGGAGTGCAATGGCGGGCTCTTGGCTCACCGCAACCTCCACCTCCCAGGTTCAAGCGATTCTCCTGCCTCAGCCTCCTGAATAGCTGGGATTAGAAGCATGCGCCACCACACCCGGCTAACTTTTTTTATTTTTAGTAGAGACAGGGTTTCTTTCTTTCTTTTTTTTTTTTTTGTGAGATGGAGTCTCTCTCTGTCGCCCAGGATGGAGTGCAGTGGCCGGATCTTGGCTCACTGCAAGCTCCGCCTCCTGGGTTTATGCCATTCTCCTGCCTCAGCCTCCCGAGTAGCTGGGACTACAGGCACCCGCCACCAAGCCCGGCTAGTTTTTTGTATTTTTTTTAGTAGAGACGGGGTTTCACTGTGTTAGCCAGGATGGTCTCGATCTTCTGACCTCCTGATCCGCCCGTCTCGGCCTCCCAAAGTGCTGGGATTACAGGCTTGAGCCACCACGCCCGGCCGAGACAGGGTTTCTCCATGTTGATCAGGCTGGTCTCAAAACTCCTGACCTCAGGTGATCTGCCCGCCTCAGCCTCCCAAAGTGCTGGGATTACAGGCATGAACCACTGCGCCCAGCCTGATGTGCCCATTTTTAAGTTAGCAATTTCCATAAGCTGCATAAGGAGCTGCTTTGGGTTATTCTTTCATCTGAGCTCTGGTTAACTAACCATGTCATTTATTCATTCATTTTTAAATGGGTTGGGTAAAATATACATATTTTTTAAAAATACTATTTTCTGGCTGGGCACAGTGGCTGACTCCTGTAATCCCAGCACTTTGGGAGGCTGAGGCATGCAGATCACTTGAGGTCAGTAGTGCGAGACCAGCCTGGCCAACATGGTGAAGCCTCGTCTCTACTGAAAATACAAAAATCAGCAGGGCATAGTGGCAGGAGACCGTAATCCCAGCTACTCCGGAGGCTGAGGCAGGAGAATCACTTGAATCCAGAAGGTGGAGGTTGCAGTGAGCCAAGATCGCACCACTGCACTGCACTCCAGCCTGGGTGACAGAGTGAGACTCTGTTCCAAAAAAATAAAATAAAATTCCTGATGTGTGAAAATTATGTGAAATTCACATTTCAGTGTATCCATAACTAAAATTTTATTGGAATACAGCCCATCCATGCCCATTCACTATAGCTGTTTTGGACCTGTAACAGCAGAGCTAAGTTGTCCGACAGAGACCCCTCCCACCGGCTCAAGTAGCCTAAAATATTTGCTACCTAGGCCTTTAGAGAAAAGGATGGAGACACATGACTTAGGGAAGTGAGACAGAGAGTGAAAGGGTCTGCAATTTTCCATAAGTGGTCATGTCAGATCTCATTAAAAGGTGACATCTGAGCGAGTCCTTTCTGAAGGGTGTTACCTAACCCCACGGGGCTCCCGGCCTCCGCCCAGGGAAGCTCTCCAGCTCTTACCGAAGTAGTCAAGCCAGTTCATCTGGCGCAGCGCCTTGGGGAGCCGCAGGATCTCGATGTTGTAGAGGTTATCCACCTCCTTGAGGAGGTTCTGCCTGTCTGACTCAATTTGCTTGATTCGTATTTCCACTGCGGGAGGGCAGAGCCGACAGGACACGGGTCACGGGGCGGGTGAATGTGTGCAGCTCGTGTCCCCACCCGCCAGCATCCCGCGACCGCCCCAGGAGGCCGCGACGGCCTGGTCCCTTACCTTCACGGTCGAAGTCTTTCAGAAAGGAGGCGAGCTTCCGCCTCCGTAAGGAGTTGATCTTGGCCACCCGACTACTGCCCTTCCTAGGAGCCATGGCGCTTGGCGGATGCTGCGGGGAGCGGCGGAGATGGGGCAGGGAGGCAAGGAACCAGGTAGGGACCAGGAGGGCGGATGGGGACCACCCGAATAAGTCGCCAGGCACGTACCTCCGGTCTCGCGACAAGGACTGAGTAAAACCTCGCTATGCCAGTGAGAGAGAGCGGCTCTACCGTCAACCGCCACCCAATTCAAACTCCACAGCCACAGGCTGACGAATGAGAAACCGCCGTCCCACAGTATCCAATCACAAGCAAGTTCCTACCTGCCCGGGGTCTCCCGCCCAATGCGCTCCCTATAGCCGGAGTGCGTCAGCGCGGGCGCCGCCGTCGCGGGTACTCCTGGGAGTTGTGGTCCAGGCTTGTTTCCCCGCCCTCCCCACCAACTCACCCGGCTCCGCCCTGGCCGGCTGCAAACTATACAAACTACGACTCCCGGCAGGCCTTGCGGCGGGTCTTCATTCCCCCAAGCTCTGGAGGGCTAGGGGCGGACTAGGTCAGGTCGGCTGTAGGATTCTGCTCCGGGGCCGGCGGCTGCTTCTTCCAGGCCTGGCTGCCACTGAGTAGCCGAGGGGCCGCCGTGACACTCTGACTGATTGACTGGCTGGCTGCCTACGTCGGCGCTCCTCAGGGCCCCAAGCTCCCGAGGCCGAACTTGGGGCAAGTGGAGGGTCGGCGGAGACAGAGCAGCCCCGACAGGGTTTGGAAGGGGCCGAGGCGGAATGACAGGGGAGCGGGGCCGGGGTGCAGGCTTTGGGGTGGGCGCGCCAGCCCGTGGCCAGTTTGGGCAGCGAGTGGGGAGAACCCTCTTGTTCCTCGCTCGCCCGCGGGCCGGCCACTCCCGTCCAGTTCGCGTCTTGGCGCCTCGACTGGGTGTGCAGCGCGGGGCCGCGACTTCAGGTGCGAGTAGTGGCGCTTGGCAGCTGGCCACGCGGTGACTGCAGCGTGAGCCGCGGCCACCACACTCCAGGGAGCCCAGGGCAGGAGGCAGCTCTGGGTGTTCTGGCCGTGGGCCTGGGAATGGGCGTGTAGACCTCGAACCCCGCTGAGCCGCAGTCCTGTCGGAAGTGCTAACTGTGCATCTTTGCATCTGCCCACGGCCACAGGGTTGGATTGCTCAAGGGTTGTGCTGAGACCCAGCAAGGCTAGAGGCTAGTTTCGAAGCTGTAGCTCAGGCTGAGTCTCAAGGCGGGCGACGACTGGACGGCCAGACCGGCGAGCTCTTGACAGGTTTGTGGCCTGATTGTTTGGATTTGGTGCTTTTCACCTGTGGATGCGGTCTGAAGCCATGTCAGAGGGGTTGTTTGTGTTTAAGCGTGCATGTTATAGGCTATGGGAGTGATAATCTTGCCTCTCCCCCTCTGAGTTCAGGAACAATCAAAGAAATAAGCAAAGGTGCCAAGCAGGCTCCTGATGGGCACCAGCGAGCTTGGGGACAGAGCAGTCCAAGCATAGAAACCCTGGCAAGCCTGGCCCTTCCTAGAAAGTCCTTTCTCTCTCTCTTCCACCCTGGTTTGTTGCTCCATATACAAAAAATATTTGAATGTCGCTCTTCCGCCCAAGGTCAGCCCTGGGCAGTGGGTGGTGGGGGTGACACCCGAGTCTGCTGGGTGCCTAAGGATCTCCATCAGTTAGATGGCCAAGATGAGAGGGGACGACAACCCGTACCTCATGTAGGCTTTCCCGCAGCAGGTGTTTTTATGCTGGGCAAATTGGGCTTCCAGCCTCTCGGTTTCAGGGTTTCCTTCACCCGACTCCCCAATGTGCCCGACCTCCCTGGGCACCTAAGATGTCCACCTGCATCTCAGCCAGAGCTGCCACGTCAGGAGCCCGTGATTCACTAGTTTTTGCCAGTTGGTTGTGATACACAATGTCAAAAGTGTCATTAAGGCACAGCCGGAGGCGCAAGCTGAGAGGAAAAGACTCCACAGTTAAGAGGACATGCCACCACTGCCACCCAATTTAAACTGCCGCAGGCTGACAAATGAGAAGTCGCCGTGTTTGGACGGTCCCAACATCCAGTCCCAAGGAAGCTTCAAGCCGAGTGGCCAATCCACATGTTGGACTACAGTACCCAGAAGTAATTTCGGTACTATGATATATTTTCGCGACTCAATAGGCTTGCAGGCCTGCGGAGGAGCTTTGGGGGCGGTCGCCTGTGAGCATGCGCAGAGAGACTATGGGCGCGTGGTGCTCACGCTTTGGGTGTCTTGACTTTTAAGTTTTTCCGCTGGTTTCAGGAACGCGACCGGCAGCCTCGGGCAGGGG